GGACCTCAACTTAGGTGATAGATTTGATAGCAAATTGGGAAAACAACTCCCCCAGCTATCTCCGCCGCCCAAAAAAAAAGAAATCAGTCAGGTTTTCAGGGGTGAAGAGACGTCCGGTTTTCCTAGGATACGATATGCAAGCGGTCATAAAGAAACCAAAAAATTCTCGCGTTACGGTTCAAGTTTGCGCAATATGATCCCAATACGACCGTTCCGAAAGTTCGTTTGTTACTAATTTTTATTCAGTGTATTTTTCGAAGCATTCACTCGTTTTTAAAATTTTCAACAGTTTTCTCGCAGTGATTAAATTTGCGTTTCAAAGCGACAAAACTGTTTCTTTCACCCGACTAATTAAATGATCTGCTTGTTCATGGAAAATATGAGATGATAGAGCAATTGAATTCGAAAAACGCACAACAAATTAATGTGACGTTTCATTAATTTGTTGTGTGTTTCAGCTCTCTTTTCAGCTTTCAGCTCTAATTTCAGCTCTCTTTCGAACTCATTAGAAAAATGTCCCTGCAGAGCTAATTAGTATGTAAGATGATCAGCTTCTCTCCACAAATGTTCCAATTTCTAGGGGCGAGTCGCGTACAACCAAAATCGATCAATCAGGCTTATTCTCATTCGTCACCTACAGTTGGGTATTCCCCTACTTATGGGCTGCTTTCAAGGGACGTTTGAGTCAGGATCAAACATGGAATTGCAGTATTTATGATTCGTCAACAGTCAATATGGCCAGGTTACCCTTTATTCGTGCTCGTTTCGTTCATATTTGAAAACACTTTTGGAAATTTCGTTTTCATTCTCGTTGAGCAACCGGTTTTGCTTTGTTACTTTTTCAGTTCAATTCTGTCAGAAAAATAAGCCTAATTAGAAAGTGTCAGTATCTAGATACAAACACACTGGAAAAAAAGTCATTTCGAGAAAGCACTCGAACAAGCGATTCAATTCCTCAACAGTATTGTTACATATTGAAGTAGTCATCAAGCGATTTTTTGACTGATGAGACCATAAAAAGAAAAATAACAGTTTTTAATGTAAAACTTGCCTAAAACTCGTGCTCTCTGAATGCGAAATCGCTATTCCAGATTAAAAATCTCGAATGTATGATATCAGCAGCAGCAGAAAATTTCATCGTTCTTATTCAGATTAGAGTATTTATGGAATCAAGAATTGGAGCAAAGGCCATCCAAACCATCGTTATTCCGTGTCATCTGTGTGTTTATTAAGACACGAATTGCGGTCGCATGTCTTGTGTTTTCGTTCTGTCTTGTATTCGGTTTTATTGGACCAACTTGTTTCGTACGTGGTTTGATAGCGTTCGCTGAAAATCCGCCTCCAGATGGAGTCGAACTGAATCTCAGCTTAGGCCTATCGCTCGTCTTTGCTATTCTTCTTGTNCAGTCGGAAGATGATTTTCACTTTTTGATTAATGACTACTCAACGTCATTGAGATGCGTCGTCATCAGTCGTTTCGAACATTATCTGTAGTTGATTGCGTTTCAATTTCTGCAACAAACCGTATTGTTTTGAAGTAATTTTCATCAGTGAATACCAGTTTTAACAGCAAATTTTAATTATTATACTAGACTGCAAACAGAAAAATACGTCTGACTGACAATTAGGCCAATCAATTTATTAATGAATCGAAGAAATGGTGATGAATTTTTATATTTAAGGTTGAATTTGCACGTGTTTTATCTTATGGCGGCACTTGGGCCATCAGCTACCGTACTGGTATTCGAGTGCGTGGTGCCCTTTTGGCTCTTTTGTACAAAAAACTGATCAACGTTCGTACGTTGAGGAACAAAACCGCTGCTGAGGCTCGTTTCCCGTTGCAATTTCGTTTGATTTCTCGAAAATCCGGCGGATTTCCGAATGAAATCCCTCTATTTTTATTTGTTGATGATATCATATTGCTGAACTGAAAGCTGTTTTCGTTCAAGCAGAAGAGAGTTCACATTTACCGATAAAATAATGATCGAATTCTTAAGACAGCAGGAAATTTTAACCTATTAAAGCTGTTTCCTCAATAAAATAGTAGCAAATTCTATAAGAAGCAATAATTGTGGAAAACATCCGACAGATTCGCCTGTCCTCCATTCACACATCAACAAAAAGAAAACCATTGTTACCTGATTCTAGCAACCTATTCATATGAGATCTCACCAAATTTAACTGAAAAGCGATTGTACTGTATCAAATCTTGTCAGTAAACCGTTATTTTGATCAACTGGGATCAAAATCGAGAAGGCTCTNGCCTGTCCTCCATTCACACATCAACAAAAAGAAAACCATTGTTACCTGATTCTAGCAACCTAATCTTATGAGATCTCACCGAATTTGATTGAAGAGCGATTGTATTGTATCAAATCTTGTCAGTAAACCGTTATTTTGATCAACTGGGATCAAAATCGAGAAGGCTCTATGATACATCCAACTGTTCTATCAACTAAACCTTTAGGTTTGTTGTCGTTATCAACCGAGCGATGAGCAAATTTCAGATTGTTAACGTTTACGCGAATGATGCACAACGATTATTCGACGCGGTCACATTCACTCCGTTAGTGCTTGTGGGGCCGTTGGTTCTGATCGGAGGCATCATCTATCTTTTATGCATTATTGGTCCTTGGTCATTGCTTGGTATTTTGACGTTTCTCTTATTTGATGTGTTCCAGGTGAGTTCATATATGCGCCATGTGTTTATTGATAGAAACCTAGATGTATAGGTACAGACCAACTTGGTCTTATTGGTGTTCTTTTTTATGAAAATTTTGATTACAATTGTGTATTTAAGAGTAAAAAACAGAATTATGTCAGCAGACAAGCTCGAGAATAAGACAAAGTGAATGTAATCTTTTCAGTTTGCTCTCGGCAAAACGATGGTTCGATTTCGAGCATCAGCAATCAAAAAGACTGAAAGACGAGTAAGTTAACTTTCTGAGTTCACTGAAAAGAACTTTTTTTTTGAAAAAAACAAAACAAATCAAGATTACTTCCTCTGTATAATCAAATAATATCAGTGACGTTGTTCGTGATGAATTTTGATAAATTCACTTGGTCTCTTTGTTGACTGATCAGCAATTTTAGTTGTTTTTGTTAGCAATCATCCATTGAAATTGAGCTGAATGAATGATGATCATTCAGATAAATTTAATGGGTGAAATAATTCGGTGTATTCGAGTGATCAAAATGAATTGTTGGGAGGAAACATTCACTGAGAAGATTGAAGGTTTGCAAATTATTCTCATATGAAAGGTTGAATCAATTTCTCAAGAGTATTCTCAACACTATTCGTTACTTTCAATCAGTCAGTTTAATTGAGAACATGCCCGCTCAATATTTAATTAAAGAAGTTTTCAAACGTCTGCCACTGGATCAAAACATCATGTTGAGAGAGCGATTTTGATGAAACAAAAAGCTTTTGATCATTGCAATGCTATAAGATATTACTCCGTTTGGGAGAGGAGTGAAACAGGCGATTTAAGCCCGGGTGGACAATTCATCGCAAAACGTTGAGAATCTGAACGATCTCGTTAATCAATAATACCACCAACACTACTTGATATTTCCACTGACCTAAACAAATTCTGTTCAATTCAATAATCATGATTCAGTATCACTCAATAGCTTATTCATATAAACAATTCGAAAGAGCTATTTTGATAGTTCAGTGAATGGTGCCGAAAAATTTCATGAATTAATTGATCAACTGTATGAAATATGC